ACATAGGTACCCCAAAATGTCTAAAGCTTTATTGAACTCCGGAAGGCCAATTTTCTTCTCCATGTGTGAATGGTTAGTCCTCTCCTCATATTGGTTATATTTTTTACAGACAAATTAGGCTTCTGATTCTCAAATATCCAATGAAGTCATAAATCCTTTTGTTTAAGGAGCTTGAATATAATTGCATTGATTTATGATCAGGGGCCAAGAAGACCCAGAACTTTGGGCCAGAAATGTAGGGAATAGTTGGAGAACAACAGGAGATATTGAGGATAAATGGGAAAGGTATGGTATAAACACTATAAGAAATACTTAACTCCATGTATATATATTATATTAGTATTTATAAATAATTCTTAATGTGCATGGATGACTATAATATATGAAAAATTACTTTGTTGCCAGTATGACAAATATTGCAGATGCAAACGACAGACGGGCATCTTATGCTGGACCTGGGGGATGGAATGGTAAATAACTTCTCATTTCTAATATATTAATTAAGAGTAAATACATAATTAATAATAGTTAACATCATTCTTAAAATGGGGGAACAGATCCAGATATGTTGGAAGTTGGAAATGGAGGAATGACCACTGAAGAATATCGTTCCCATTTCAGCATCTGGGCATTGGCTAAGGTACGTACCTAGGAATAAAAAAGAAAAAAAAAACAAGAAAGAAGAAAGCTAAACAGAAGATTTATTGGACTTTACCAATACATGGTCGTAAATTAATAAACAAGATGTGTTATGTTGTATGTGCAATTACTTACAGGCTCCTTTGTTGGTCGGCTGCGATGTTCGAGCAATGGATTCCACAACATTCGAACTGTTAACCAATAACGAAGTTATTGCTGTCAACCAAGGCATGACTCATACATTAAAACTACCTCTTCTATATGGACCTTTAATTCCTCAAATATCCAAAAAAAAGACTCAAAAAATTAATATAGAGATTCTCATTATGTTGCAGACAGCTTAGGAGTTCAAGGAAAGAAGGTGAAGAGTGAAGATGGTTTGGAAGTAATCTCTTCTTTTCCCACCTTTATATATCCCCATAATTAATTTATGAATTGTGCCACATATCTTAGTCATACAAATATATTTAGGCACTTTAAATTGTCATTTTTTTTGGGTATGTAAAAATAGTGTTAATTTTAAGGAACACAGCTATCTTAACAGAGAAAACAACATATATATGAATATAATGATGCAGGTATGGGCTGGTCCTCTCAGTGATAACAGAATAGCAGTGATTTTGTGGAACAGAAGTTCATCAAAAGCAACTGTGACTGCTTCCTGGTCTGATATAGGCTTAGAACCCGCCAGAGTTGTAGATGCTCGAGATCTTTGGGAGGTAATAAGAGTTTATATATATAGTTCAAGTTAACTATTATTACTATTATATTATTTCAATTCAAAGAGAGTCAGCAAGTCATATTAAGGATTTTTTTTCCCCTAAATTTTCTTGTTTTGGTTTGAATTTTATGATCAGCATTCTACACAGACATCGGTTTCGGTACAAATCTCTGCAGAACTGGATTCACATGCTTGCAAGATGTATGTTCTCACTCCCAATTAACCTCCAGATTGTTGAAGACGACGAGCACGGTCAAGCGGATATATGCATAAGTTATTAAAATGCAAGGATGTTCAAGCAGCAGAAAATAAATATGTGATTTATTTTACAATAAAAAATATTTATAGACATAATTGAGAATAAGACAGCTTTATGAGATGTCTTTCTGATATTGTTTGTATTGTCGGACCATTATATTGAGCTGTATTGATTTTAATATATGGTTAAATGATGATTATGGTTTTTAAATGGTTCTTTAATATTCAATTTACGTGATATATAAAATATATGTATCATGAAGTTGTTTTTCATATATATTTATATATATATAAATATTTGGTTCATGCCTACTTGCAATTCATTTTTGAATTAGTCATGTAATCCGAAATTAATTAATTAAGCATCCAAGTAGTATTAGAGAGTGAAAGATAGATCTGGTCTTTATGGAATGAGCACATGGATTCTCAAATCTGATTCATGCCAAAACGCATAGCTTTGATGGTTCTCATTTGTCTTTCTTTGACCTGTTCTGCCATTTTCGTGGTCTTTAATTGTTATTTTGTGAATTTCTCTCCAAGTGACAAATATTGCATCCAAAGTCTCTTGCGTAATATGACGAAGTGCTACAAGAATAAAAGAAATAACACGCAAAATAATAACTCAAACAGTAGTAGGAAAAATATGAAGAAAAGTCATCCGTTAATTCGTATTAATTTTGTCCTTAATTAGCTCGCGCAATTGATTAAACTAGATTGATGGAAAATTTTGCTTCAAAATTAGGATGTGCTGCTGGCTTATCTCACCATACTTTCTCTCATTTCTTCTTCCTTCTTATTATTGGAGCAAATGGTTGAGGTTTCATATTTTATAAATTATTAATTTTTCTATTTTAATGTAATATGCAGTCATGAATTGTTCAAGTTTTAACATTTTAAATTTATTTTTTTATTTTTATTGTAATACTATAATAATTTTATAAGATATTAAATCTTAATCATTCAATTTTCAATCAAAAGTTGTCGGAGATTGTATGAGCAGAAGAAAAGGGGAAAAAAATAGACGAAAAGAAAGGAGAAAAAACCGAATTAAGAGAGATACATGCATGTCAAATGTTTCATTACAAATATCGGTCCATTTAGGTTTTTTTCCCCTAATTTTTTTTACATAAATTGAAATTGAGAATAATGACGTAATGATAAATATTTTTAAAAAGAAAGAAGAAAAGGACAAGGAGGCAAAGGATTATCAGGCAGTCGGCGAAAAAGGGCTTTGGCTTCTTCTGCCGCCGCCGTACAAACACCTTCCGGCAAACCGGCTCATACTGCGCCCTTCTCCATATATACTTCTTTTTAATATATAAAATACAAAACTATATCGATTTATATAATGTTATATTATTAAATCAACAGGAAAAATGTATTTTATTATATATCATGTACAACTAAAATATTTCCACTGACATTCAAATTCACATCATATTTTCATTAATTTTCACCTCATTAGCGACCATCGATCTTAAATGCCCCAGCACCATAATAATGGAGGTGACAAAGTGCACTAGAATAATTTGAATGAAATAATAAATCAAAATAAAACTAAGGGAAAATTTTTCGTAGGTCTTCTCAAATAAAAAAAAATTCACAGAGAAGTCAAAAAATTTCATATTTACAAGTCAAACTTATTTTCTTACCAAGGACCCTAAAATTAAACTCCCACTAGTCTCTTTACTTCATTTACTGATATTAATATTAATTGCTAATGAATTAAACGCTGCAAGTTAAGTTTGTTTTAAAAATAACTCTTCGGGCCTTTAGTATCAGGCATTTTTTATGGATCCTATTACTAAATACTATTTGAGACCGACTAATCCGGATTGAGACTTTGCAACCAAGATATTTTTTTCCCAGGAGTTCTTGATCTAGTGGCGGACCAATTATGCCACAAAGTAGGCCGGTACGTAGCAAAGTTAACTATTAGGTTATATGCATTTGTATAATGGCTATTAAAAATGTATTAATGCAGTACTGCCCTAACTCCAGAGAGTTACAAGAAATTATACTAATATATATCACTTATTTCTATTTGAAACTCAAGCATTAAACCTTAGAATATCATGATCATGATAGTTATGTATCACTATATATATAATCTGTATACTGATATCCAAACAATTTTGCATGCATTTTTACTTGTTGTAAATGCAGGTAGTCGGAAATTCAATTTGACATGTTTCTCTTAAAAAGAAAGAAAGAAAGAAAGAAAATATCTAAACATCAGTACTCCTCCGCTCCTAAATATAAAATCCATTTTCTAGTGTAAATTACACTGTAAAATGTGTCATATATTTAGAACTGGAGAAGTACATTGATATAATAAATCGGTATTGAGAATAGACATGATTATTCATTAAATACTTCCGGAAAATCTATCAAGCCGCTAGCTGTTTCTGCATTTGTGTGTGTGCGCGTGTGTGTTCGGAAACCTAATACCTATAGCTACCTCCCAACCTTTCTGCTTCTTCTTCCCCTTTTTCTTCTGAACAGATCTGAATAGAAATTTCAAATTTCCGATTGATCGACCAGACAGAGATGGGACATAAATTTTGTGAAAGAAGGATGAAGACAGGGATTGCCTTGTGGATCATGTTATTAAACATCTCTTGTCTATGTGGTGGCCGTTTGTTGAACATCAACAGAGAAGAATCAGTACTTTTTGAAAATGGAGTTGGTCAGACTCCTCCTATGGGGTAAGTTAGTTCACAATTCTTAAGAAACTACTCTCTTCATCCATCTAACCTCTATCTTCTTCGATTTCCAGGAATCGGATCCTAATTACTGATCTGTGAATTCTAATAATGATAATATATATACCATCTCTTTAATCAATATATAATCATAGATATAAATATAGAACTAGATATGGGGCTTATATGGGTTTGTATGAAGTTTAAGAAATGAGTCATGTTGTTTGATGAATTATAAATAACGTGACTTTCTATATATTCCACATAATAATCTGATGTAAAATTTATAAGCGCCGTGGATTTTTTTGTTTCCTCGTAATATTTGAAGCATATATTTATTTTAATGTAAATGTAAATACTTTTCTTTTCTATCCTTAACATATAAACTAGATAACTAATTTGTAGAGATTAAAAAGAATTAATTATATTCATCATGTTAACAAAATTAGGACCGAAGGGAGTAGTATAAATAGTAAGTATATATATCGAAAAATTAAAGCTCGCTTATATAGTATATATATTATCGCAAAATTCAATGAACTAAATTACTTGCAAGCAAAGACATTTTATATTGTTTCAGTCCCAAAAAAAAAGACATTTTATATTGTTGTACATTATCCCTAAATTAATCTAACCCCTAAATTAATCTAACCCTTCCAAATTACTTAATTATTCAGGTGATATGAGACTTAATCATGTTCCAAACTAATATTGATATACTCCTCGGATCCTTAATATAGAACCTAGTTGTTAAGTTAATTTTAGTCCTAAATATAAGATCTATTTCTCATATTTATCAATTTTTTCTAAACTACTTCTTTGGATACTTCCTCAACCATAATCAAGTGAGTGAGAAAGGAAGAATATTAAAAAAGATTATTATAGTGTCTTAAGAAAAACATGTTATATTTTTATAATTAACTAACTTACCCAACTTCCTTAATATAATCAAACTAGTTAAATAAGTTTTATATTAAAGACTGAAGGAGTATTATTTTTACAAATGATGTATAAGGAAAATGTTTTTATCCTCCTATATATATTTCGATAAAACATATATGAGTGACTGTTAATTAAGCAACAACGGTTAAATTTTAATCATACCAGTCCTCTTAGCTTATTAAAGATGATAATTGTGATCAGATGGAATAGCTGGAACCACTTTCAGTGTGACATTAATGAGGAGATGGTTAGAGAAACAGGTGATTAATTTTGTAATATACATATTTAATTCGCTAGCAATATTCAGAGTTTACAACAACAACAAAAATCTTTAATACGGATTTTAAATTACAGCTGATGCAATGGTATCAACAGGACTTGCAGATTTAGGGTACCAGTATATCAATCTAGGTATGGTAGTATAAATTTCTGAATAATTAATTATATAATTTCATTGTTTATCACATATTTTATTGATTGATCGCTATTTTTTAATATCTTTCTTTTTTCAACTTGAGATGATTGTTGGGCTGAACTTGATCGCGACTTCGAGGTATATAATCATTGGCTTTTATTTTTGTTATTTTTAGCTTAAATTGTAGTTATTATACCTATTTGTTTGTTCATTCATTCAAAATCCATATAACATAAAAATTGAATCTGTGGCAGGGAAATATGGTTCCTAAAGCTTCAAAATTTCCATCAGGAATTAAGGCTTTGGCTGATTATGTTCACAGCAAAGGATTGAAGTTTGGAATTTATTCTGATGCTGGGTATCCGCATTTAATTATAACCGTACCATAAAACTTTGATCCATTATTGCAAACAAGTTCATCATCAATATTACTAAATATATCTTGAAATAATTAATTTCTAATCTGCAGGATTCAAACGTGCAGTAAGCAAATGCCCGGATCACTTGGACATGAAGATCAGGATGCAAAAACATTTGCTTCCTGGGTATATATTTACAACTCACCTATATAAATAAAAGATACGCCCGCGCGCGCGCACATTTTGCTTCAAACTCATTTCGAACTCATACACACAGACACACAACTCACCATTTCAAATTCTTCTGTTCAGGAAAGAAAAGAACTCAGTCATCTTGTTTAAATTATATGAAGAATTTTAAGTAGATTCTGTTTGAATATTGTTTAGGGTGTGGATTTCTTGAAGTACGATAATTGCGAGAATAGTAATATAACAGCAAAGGAGAGGTATATTTTTGGGCTTTAAATCCATATGCGTGTTTCTCTGCGCACTATCTATGAATCTTATAAGACTCAAAAAAATCATCGTACGTATGAACAAAACA